TCGACCTCTTCCGCTATGATTTGATTACGTTCTGGAGCAAATCTTCGCTGCTTCTGTTTCACTGGTTTGAAATTGGGATTGACATTCAGGAAATGACAGGATACGGAGGGACTAATTCCAGGCATGTCTAGGTGACTCCATGCAAATACGTCGGCATTGTGGGACAAGAAATCCACTAGCTCTTGCTGCTCTTCTCTGGTCAGTCTTATACCTACTCTGGTAGTTCGTTCTGGCCTGGACTGATCGATCTGCACATCCAGAAGGGGCTCCCCGGTCAAGTCGACTGACTCCTCCACCCTGTTTTGCTCAGGCGGAGGTTCCTGTAATTGCTATCTGGGGCTTGCCGAACGGACGGGCGCCTTCCCTTTCCCAGCATGCTTTAGCGTGACGGAGTAACACTCTTTGGCTGCGACCTGATCCCCCCGAATGTCTATCACTTTATCTCCATCGGGTCCGAGGCACCTCATGACCTGATGCAGAGTTGAGGGTACACCTTGGACTCTGTGAATCCATCCTCTTCCCATCAGGAGATTATACGAGGGGTGAATTTCTACAACCACAAAAGTTTCCATAAGAGCTCGTTCTGTAGCTTGAACTTCCACTTCCACCATCCCGACGGGCTCCACCCTCTTCCCATCGAACCCTAACAAGGGATTTCCAGTGGGCTTGAGCCTCTCTGGTTTAATCTCGAGCCTATCAAATGTGTCCCTTGGCATGACATTCGCACTGCTCCCAGGATCGATCAGAACTCTGCGCACCAAGCAGTTCGCCACTGTTAAACTGACTACCAACGGGTCTTCATGGGGCAGTTGAACACGTTGCAGGTCTGTCCAGTCGAACTTTATCTACATCGACGGGCTCTGCTGGTGTAGAGTATTCACACTGCTGACCCTTTTCTTCATCTGCGCCTGCCGCAGGCGCGCCCGAAGTAACTCATCTGACTCTTCACTAGGTTCGGGTCGACCATGGATAGCATTGATTATACGAACTGGTTGTGAATTGTGGGAGCTTTGTTTATGACTCCTTTTTATTTGTTCCACCGGTCGATTCTGTTCTATCGCCGAGCCTTGAACATAACTCGCGAACTCCCCTCTAGCTATCAACATCTCCACTTGCCTCCTCAGGTTCCTGCATTCGTTAGTTTGATGACCGAAATCGGAATGGAAAGCACAATGTTTAGTTTGATCCCTCTGTTCGAGGGGTTGCCTAATTGGCAGTGGTGGATGAAACTTATCTTTGTTCTCCTGATACAGCCTCACCAGAGTGACCTTCAGCGGAGTAATCAGCTCTCCTCCCTGGACCTTTTGTCTGCCTTCCAAGAGGTCTGACGTTGCGGCTGAGCCTGCTTCTACCTGATCTTTGCCTTGGACTTTTCCTCGGTCGACACGAGCGACGCTGTCCGAGCATTAGCTGCCTCCTCTTCTTCTAGGCGCACAAAGCCATCGGCTCTTTCATTGAGTTCATCCATAGTAGTCGGCGTGTTCACTACCAGACTGGTGTGAAACGGAGTTCCACGTGTCATGGCTAACTTGAAGGCTTGAACTGCTGTAAAAGGGTGGCATTCGATCACCATACTCTTAGTGAGATTAAACCTGGTAAGAAAAGCCTGGAGACGTTCATCTTTGTGCTGCCTCATCGTGAATAGACTCAAGATGTCCTTCGGCGGGCGCTTGTTCCCATAGTACTGGCTTATGAACCGATCGCACAGGTTTCTGAAGCTACCAATGGAGCTCCTAGGCAAGTTTTTGAACCAGCTGAGCGCCGGTCCGGCCAGGCTTGTAGGGAAACATTTGCACATTAAAGAGTCGTTTTCCGTATTCAGGGCCATTTTCAACTGGATATGGTACACATGATCGATCGGATCGGTTGTTCCGTCAAACAGAATAAAGACTGGCATAGCAAACTTCCTTGGATGCGGGGCATTCAAAATCTCGTCGGTGAATGGTGAATCAACCGTCCGAGCTGCGGATCGGAGAGCTTCATTCTCTCTCTGGAGTCCAGCGGTAGCTCTGTGAGTTACGGTTCTGCCCTCTGAACCGCGATGAGTGATAGTAGCCATGGATGGCCGGTAAGACGGATCGAACGACCGTTCTTCTATGAACTCTCTTTGCCAAGGCGATGCTACTCGACGGCGATCAACCTCTATCACTTCCTCTCGGTCGAACCTTTCCCGATGCGGATCAACGTGAGTCGATCCTTCGTGATCTTCAACTCGACGAACATTTGGCGGCAAATTGTCCATCATCCTTTCATCACGGTGGTGAGCTGACTGATTGTTCTCGTCCTGTTCGCCTTGACGCGCGATATTAGATTGAACACCTCCTTCACCGGCCGGAAGTGGATGCGAAACCGCAGGTATTTGCCGATGCTGCATTCCAGCTTTCAATTCTGCATTCTCTTTTTTGAGAGCCTCAATCAAGTTCATTAACTCCTCAAGCTTTGTTTGCTGGACAGCCTCCATCGGATTGGAGCTTTCACCTATCATTATTCCTGAACGGAGTAAAGGCATTAATCTCAAGTTCGCGAGTAGATCTGAGCTTCGTGAGTGGGAATTTTTCAGATCTGGTTTCGAATTCTCCGAATTACGCTCACCGTTTACGAGATCTGAATTGTCTGAACTCTAAATCCGTCAGATCCCGCCACAATCGAACAACTCGTTGTTGCGTAGATCTGAAGCCACTTCTGCCAAAGCTTCAAGAATTGTAATTCCTCCAAAGTAGGTCACAATCGCTCAGATCTGGATCCAAATCCCAAAGATCGAGTCTCGATCAACCGAATTGGTCTGAATCCACTCGATATTCCTCATTGATCAACCAAATTCCATACGCTTCCCACAGACGGCGCCAATTGAAGATGCAAGAAATTCATTCCCTCTTTCTCTCTCTAGAATTCTTACACTTCAACCAAAAAGATCCTCTCCCTCTCCATTCCTTCCCCTCATTTATAGATATTTACAAGATATTTACAAATATTGACTGATTGCTGGATCTGGGCCTGTTCCTCCATAAGTCCTGGTCACCTTTGATGGGCTTACTCGCGTTCGGCCCATATGGCAGTGTCTTTATATGGGCTGACCCAGCTGTACGGACCGGATGTAATGCTTGCAAGTCAGATCCGGCCCATGTCGTCCTGGGCCTCCTCAAATATATTTGACTTTGACTATTAATCCTCTCTCTTAATCAGGTATATTCTCTCTGAAACAGATTTATTTATTGATTTTTCATCACCAATTTTAGGGACAGTTTCTTATTTATTGATCTCCTGCGTTTTGCAAGATTTGAAGTTTGAGTATTATAGGTGAACTTAGGTATGTGATCTGACTTAATTCTTATCCTTATTTTTTTATTTTTTATTTTTAGATCCGACTTAGTTATTGATTTTTCATCACCAGTTTTCTATATTTTTCTACTTGGTTCCTATTTTTTATTTTTAAAAAAATATAAAATTAAATCGGACATGCTATGGTTATTTTTATTGCTGTAAAAAATATCAAATTAATGTTCACAATCAAACACAAACCCACTAGATCGATCTGTCAAATAGCTAGTTAGGTTGTTGGGGAAAAGAATTGTAGAAGCTCAATTGACCTTCACAGCTCACATGATTGGTTAAGCAAGGTATAACGAAAAATTTAATTTATTCGGTTCATAATGGATCGATATCCGATATGGTTACTGTTTTGAAAAGATAATGTCCAATGTTGTGGAAGTAAATACTAATTATAAAACTGTTTTTTGAACAAGAATTTCATTCTATATGTTATATATATGGTTCATAATTGATTAGCATCTATATATTTTTTTTAAAAACACGCTCCTAGACAATAGGACGCGATTAGTTATGTAAAATCAAAGTGGAACAACACTCCTCTTCTAGAAGAAAAACAATTTGTGCAAGTGTTGGTAAAAAATTCATAAAAAATTCAATTTCGAAATTTTAACACCTGAAACAAGTAGATATAAATATAATTAAAATTTAAGCAATTTAAGTCCATATGCTTGGAAAGATACCTAATTAAATCATTCTCAACACATTTTAATCTTATTCTCAGTACATTTAATCTTGCTCTCAATACCTTTAATCGTATTCTAAACATCTTTTAATTATTACCTCAACACCTTTAATTTTGTTCTCAACACTTTTTAATCTTTTTTCTCAACACCTTTTAATTTTGTTCTTAATACATTTAATCTTATTCTTAATACCTTTAATATTTTTCTCAATACTTTTAATCTTATTTTTAATAAACCATTTTAATCTTGTTTTTAATACCTTTATTATTTTTCTCAACACCTTTAATATTGTACTGTTAGGATTAATTGACCTTCACAGTTCACATGATTGGTTAAGCAAGGTAGCAATGCCTAAGAAAATTGTACTCTTAGGATTAATTTCTTTTTATAATGGATCGATATTCGATATGGTTACTATAATAAGGGGGAGTTTATTCCACGGACGATTCGGATAGAAAAAGGTGGTAGTCCCACCTAATCATATGTAGTCAAGTGGATCGAAATGTCACCTCCTTACCCTTCATAAATGACATAATCTGATTTATGGGTATCAATAAATAAATACACATTCTACCAAGAATGAGTAACATAGATGTGGTTACGTTGGGTTTTGGTTTGATAGATCAGATAAGGTTTTGTTGATGTTTTTGTTTTTTTTAGATGCTTTGTCAAAGTAAGAGATTGGTGGAGGTGTTAAAATTGTCCATGGGGTTCATTTTATTTATTAATTATTTCTTTGGTAAATGGTAATGCCTAGCAAAAGAATTAATTTTTGAAAACGGGGATAATTATTTTAAATTTAGAGCACCCTACATGTGGAGTAGTATCACTTCATGGAAAAAAACAAAACTAATAAACAAAAATGTTTACTAATCAAGTCCTCAGATGACAAACATATCTTTCTAAACTTTGACACATTATAGTCATAATCTGTTGAAGGTTTTTTGATTTGTTATTTGAGTGTGTTATATGACCTCTTGGTTTCAGGTTTTGCTACCGCTAAGACGATGTTCTTGCTGAGGAATGTCGGCAGTTGCGATGATGAGATGCAAACTCTCACAAGCAAAATTGAAATTTTGAGCTGCCAAGAAGCTGATGTAATTGCAAAGCTGCAAGATGAGGAGCTTCGAACGAGAAAAAAACGAAAAAGAGTGGTTGAGAATTGGTCGGAAAATGTGCAAAAGAAGAAAGATGAATTTCAAAGTTTGGAACAAGATGTACAACGAACCAATTCTATTTTTCTAAATCTACCTTTGAAAAAACGTGCTAAGAAAATGATAAATGAAGTGACAGAACTTGTTGAGCAAGGTAAATTCCCTGAGGGACTGGTACTCAATGTGCACGACACCAAAGGCGCCATTATTGACAGATAATTTAATGGGCGTTGGATTTCAACAAATTTTGGAATACGTTATGAATTGCTTAACGAAAGATGATATCAAGCGCATTGGAATTTATGGAATGGGGGGATCGGGGAAGACAACCTTGGCAACCCATAATCATAATTTACTTCTACAAAATTCTGAAAATTCTGGTGTCCGTGTTCATTGGCTCACCGTATCGCAAGATTGGAGCATTGATAAATTGCAGAATGACATTGCCAGAATATTGGGGTTGGGTGACATCTCAAGGGAGAATGAGAGGAAGACCTCTTTCTGACTCTGAAGCGTGGGAATTATTTGTGGCGAAACTTGTGCCAGAGGGGATTGAAGTTCCATGGCAAAAAAATCCACAAATAAAAGAAATTGCAATGTCCATGGCAGAAAAATGTGGTGGTCTGCCACTTGGGATAATAACAATGGGTGGAAGCATAAGGGGGGTGGATGATACCCGGGAATGGAGGAATGCATTGGAAGAACTAGAAGTATCCATGATGAGGCAGAAAGACATGGGAGCTGAGGTGTTCCCTATATTGAGATTTAGCTATAGTCGCTTAAGGGATGAATTGCAGTGTTGTTTCTTGTATTGCGTGCTCTACCATGAAGATTGTAAAATTGAAAGAGAGGGATTGATAGAAAAATTCATTGCAAGTGGACTAATAGGTGAAAGAAATACGAGGCGAGCACAGTTTTATAAGGGACACACTATGTTGAATGAACTTGAGAATGCCTGTGTACTGGAAAGTTGTAAGGATTACATAGGTAGGGAATGCGTAAAGATGCATGATTTGATGAGAGAGACGGCACTGGAGATTGGAAGACGTCGATTCATGGTAAAAGCTGGTGTGTCTTTGAAGGAAATGCCAGATGAGAAGGAATGGAAGGAAGATCTGGAGAGTATTTCCTTATCGTATAATTGCATAAAAGAAATTCCAACAGGCATGTCACCAAGGTGTCCTAAATTATCAACCTTGTTATTGAATAATAACCATGGTTTAAAATGGATTCCATATAGTTTTTTCGCACAAATAAGTGCCCTTCGTGTTCTGGATTTATCCTGTACTGGAATTGTGGATTTGCCGAGTAATGTTTCGGGTCTGGAGAATCTCACTGCATTGTTTCTTATGGGGTGCAAAAACCTCAGATATGTGCCTCCTTTGGGGAAACTTGGGGCATTACAGTTGTTGGACCTCACTGGTACTTGTATTGAAGAAGTACCGCAAGGAATGGACATGTTGGTGAACCTCAAATGCCTATTCATGAAGCTCGTCGATTCAAGTCTGGAGGTGTTACCACGTGGGATGTTAGCCGAACTCTCCAGTCTCCAAGTTCTTCGAACTGGTCTTCAAATTAAGGTACGAGGAGTGGAATTGGAGAGGTTGGGGCAGTTGGAAGAATTTGAAGGGCGGCTGTGCAGTATGTCTGATTTTAATGGATTTGTTAAATCCAAGACGTGTAGGCAGTTGAACATCTGCCGTCTTCACGAAGGCAATTTTGAAGGTTATGAAGATCAACCATGTAAATATGGTATAGTAGTGAAGTTTAGAAATTGCAGTCTGAAGAATGAAGGAGAAGGTGGGCTTTTGAAGCTGCCACACAACATTCAATACCTGGAAATTGATGAATGCCACTGTATCAGTAGCTCATGTGATGTTCCTCCCTCATTGATCAATAATGCAAAAGACTTGAAAGAATGTGGAATCTATGGCAGTGATGGGATAGAGTGCATACTGTCACAGGTTGAAGAGGAGTTTCCAAGTTGCGGTCCACTTCTACAAAGCCTTGAGATATTGAGACTTTATCACTTGCCGAAATTAAGTGGGCTGATTAAGTACAGTAGTAGGGGGGGAGTAACTGCAACTCCCCCACCTGGCACCCTTTCCAATCTTAAAGTGCTGAGAATTGAAAGTTGTGACAAAATGAAGAAGCTGTTTACGCCTAGGTTACTGCAGCACCTCTTAAACCTTGAAACTATTGATGTCTCTTGGTGTTATGGAATGGAGGAGATTATAGGAGATGATGGTTTTGCAAGCAAAAAACATCTTTCTTCATCTTCTACCACTTTCTCCCTTCCAAATTTACGGGAATTGTCCCTGTTTGATATCCCAGAATTGGAGAGCATCTGCAGGGGGTTGATGGTTTGTGATCCCCTTGAAGTTATTGGAATAGCTGGGTGTAGAAAGCTGAAGAGGCTCCCTTTCTCTCTGCCCCTTGTTAATGGCCAACCTTCTCCTCCCATCTCTCTTAAAAAAATCAAAATAAGACGACAACAAGAAAGATGGTGGGAATCACTGGAGTGGGACCACCCCAATGCTAAGGATGTTCTTCGACCATTCATTAGTGAGTGGTAGCGGCTCCATGCGCGGGTAAAAACATTCTTCTCCACTTCAATCCTTCTCTTTCAAAAAGTTTTAGATTCTCATGTTTTTCTTATAAATTAATAATAATAATAATAATCATACTAAAAAAAACAAAAGATTTTTAGTAAACAAGATTTAGTAACAACTGGGTTGATTTTTAGTTCAGGGAGTACTAGATAACCAAAGCATTACCAAGTCAGAATCACATCTCAGGCGTTGGCCGTCCGCAGTAGGAAAAACACACACACGATGTGAACAAAGTCTCTTGGCAGAGCACAGAAAGGATTGATAGCAATGTAGCTTTAGTGTCAAAAATTTCTACTACTATCTGACAGACCGAAGCTGTAACTATTGACTTCCTATATCTCTATCCGTCAATAATTTGATTATTGTCTCTACTTCGGTTGGAGAAACTGGAGTTGAACTCAACTTTTATTGTTGTAACGTTACTACAAATTAAGAATATACTATTTTGGAATAATTGGTGTAAGAATGAAAAAGGGTGATTAGCCAGTGTGGTCTCGTTAATCCAGGGTGATGGAAGGGGAAAACTAGATATGCACATAAACTTTGGCTGCTTTCAGGAAGAATCGGTATGAGAATGTGAAATGGAAAATTTTCTGATTAACGTGACATAACATCAAATCTAGTATTCTTGTAGTTGCTAAAGCTTCTTTGATGTGTCCTTAAATGACATTGATGTGTCCTTTGCTAACCCCCAAAAATTTTCACATAAATAAGAAAACGTTTTTCATTATATTATGTTACATGCCTTTTCTAATTTAAAAGTTACATTTCTTTTGTTAATGAGTAATACAGCGTGACAAACTGAAACCAGCATTCACAAATGAATTATGAAGTAGTCATTTTATTTGCTTTCTAAAATGCTAGTGAAATAAATGATTAAGAACTTGCATAGTTTAAGAATTTGTGAAGCCCCAGTTGAAATAAACTCTATTAGTGTGTCTGGATGTCAATGGAAATTGAATGGGCCCAATAACATTAATCTAACATTTGTAAAAATAAAAATGAGCCTTTAGGAGAGATGGTAGTCATCTTATTACGAGGGATGATAGAAATTTTAAATTTTGAATTTTGTTACTTTAGGGAAACTTGAAAATGATACCTATCAGGGGATATTAATTCTCTTATTATACTCGATGGCCTCTTTTAGATGAGGTGTTTCCACTTCAATTGACATGGAAAATGCTTTGGGTCCATTCAAAATCACGGGTTTTCCAGTTGCTCTTTGAAGATGTGATTGTATTACATATATATATTTTCATAGCAACATTTTTTATGCATCCTTGGGCCGCTTGTCATGCGTATGGTAAATTGAATTTCTACCGTGTATATTGACGAAACCTCAGACTAGGTAAATGCAATTTGCCCTATCTTAAATCGACGGTATAAAGGCCTGAATTTCAAACTTTATAAGTTTTCATCCGTTGCAATTAAGTTTCTAGTTATTCAGCAACTCCATTGCAAATATAAGCGTATGTCAGCATTAATCTAAATCAGTAAACATGTTTCTCCATGTAGATGAAGCAAATTTAGAGTGGAATAATTACCTGATCTATCTTTACCCTATCTGAACTTCAAATAATGAAGCTGAGAGTGAAACAAAAGCTTTTAAGACATTTTAGCTTTCTAAACACTCTAAGCGGAACAGACTGATTTTAAGCATTCAGTCTAGGGCTTTTTGGGGGTGAACTCAACACCCACAGTTAAAAATAAACTTCCAGTAGTCCATATTTATTCATTCAAAATTCGAAGCAAACACCTAAGGAAGGTTCAAACAAATAAAAAATAAAACTCTCCATCATTCAAAATACTAATATGTGACAAGTAGTCTTTAAACATTACATGGGACTTTTTTCGAACATGGAAACAAAGTATAATTGTAAGAAAATTTTATCGAAGGTGTATATAAAATTCATATAAAGTGTGAACTTATTTAAATAACAAATGGATCTTTGTTGATGGGGAGTGGGCAAGGGAGTAGGAGAGGAGTCGATGGGTTATCAAATTATGTGCGTGTATTTTACATAAACATATCTTATATACATACACAAATAAAAAAATGCAGATGCGTGTTGCGTTCTATCGTGTTTTTTTCTATGTTCCGTGGGTGATTAAAATTGTATGATTAATATATTGCAAATTAACGTTACAGCTGTATAATATTTCTTTGTCTTTAAAATACATACATAGTTGCCGCATTTTTGCTACATCCTTTTCTACTTTTTGAACATTGCCATAACAACATATCTGGGTCATGTTGCATCCACGTCTCTTCGTTTTATATCCATTCTTAGCTCCTTGCCCAATAAAATTCATTCCGTACTTCCACCATTGAACTTTCCATCTTTAATATTGACTTTGAAAAACGATTTTTTAGTTTCATCTGGTTACTATATTCTTCCAGAGACTAGTATTATTTACCTTCTATATTCACATGGTAGTCTGATTCTTTGTAGTGCTTGTCTCTATAAAAACTCAATTTTGTATCTGGTTTTTGAAGTTGTATTTTCTGTCCATTTTTCAATTATTGAACCATGACAATATAGCAATTGGGAGTTTTTTTTTTCGAATTCGAATCCATGACACAATATAGCAACCGCTCTCATTCAAGAAATTCCAATATATATATATATATATATATATATATATATATATATATATATAATTAAAAAATGAAAATAGTGAAACCAATGTAAAGAGGGATCAAATTACAAGATTGTGGAGGGAAAAATCTCCTTCCAATAAGAGCAATTCACGTCATCATAAATATAACTTTATCTTCAATAAAGGTCAAAACCCATTTCGTCAGAAGCCCAAGTTGAGTTGGTCATTAGCCCAAAACTACCGCTATCTAACTATGGGCTTTACTAAAGCTCGAATCAAGACGCCAGCAGGCATATGTACCAAGTTAGATGCGGCCCAAATCCATTTAAAGAAGGAACCGGTCCTACAAGGAAAAAGATTCATCAAAGGAAGTAAGTTCTGTGTAAGGAAAATCCGGAAAAGGGAAGAATTATAAAGAGGGAAGAATTCTATTTGTAAAGAAATTGATATATGAAAAGAATTAGAGGACAAGCAACGCGAGTCCTACCATAATTCTTCTAACTTTTGTATATAAATAGAGGTCCAGACCTCCAATAAAGGGATCCAAGCAATTCTATGCTTCTCTAGATACTGTTTTTATTTATTTTTACTATTCTTGAGTGTGTTGTATTATTTTTCTCAATTGTTATTGGTTGAGTAGAATTTTGCACTTACAAAGATGAATCATACCCTTTTGTTGGGAAGGAACCCAACGACCGTTCTCATATTCCTGATGAACCCTCAATCTGGAAATTGGGTAAGTGATCTCATCGCCGGAGCTATCAAAATGCACATAGTAATAGGAATCATCCTTTGTCCCAGTGACCCTACCAACCCACCACCCATCACAATCGTACGCATCCACTTTAGCCAGCACATCGAAACCCCAAACCTTAATCTCTTGAGGCACAGGCCTTATATTTGTAGCATCAACCACCTCCTTTAACTTCTTTTTTCCATCCTCATCTTCCTCTAGATCCATGTACTGCACCATGAACTTTCCTTTGCCCAATTTACCAATTACTCTGGCCAAATAGTAGGAGCCCAGAAACCCATCTTCTTTGCTGCATACCTCCACATAATTGTCCACTGAAATCCCCATCTTCTTCTTCAGATTCATGATAATGGTTGATTTTCTTGATTTTGTTTTGGGTTTTTTATTTGGAGAGTTGGGGACGAGTGGGTTTGCGTTGAAAAGATCGAATCTTGGTTTGTAAAGAGGTGACGAAGGAAGTGAGGAAGGAGTGAGCTCAGAAGATTTATTACTGATTTGGGAAAGTGAGTCCTACTCAGTTTATATTTAGGAAGCTGGGAGAGATTGATTCAGGAAAGTGAAAACCTTTTTCTGTTAGGACTTTCGCTGTGTAAAGTACTCCTCCTGTCCCTAAGGTCAGTTTGGTGGAGTGGAAATGGGAGGAAAGGAAAGGAAAGGTGATGGAGGGGATTAAAAATTTGTGTTTGGTAAAAATTATTGGAAGGAAAGGAAAGGGAATGGAATGGTTTGGAGGGTTAACTTGTGCCTCCAACAGTAAATTTCTTAACCTCCCAAAAATAGGAGGAAATAAAGGGAAAGGGAATGAGAGGCTTGGTGTGTGATTTAAAATGCCAATTTTGCCCTTGATATGGGTTTTGATTGAACTAGAACAACGGCGATGGAAACTGATATATATATATATATATATATATATATATATATAAGCTTGCAACATATATGGGTTTTGATTGAACTGGAACAGCGGCGATGGAAACTGGTATATATATATAGATATATATATATAGAAGCTTGCGACATATATTTTAATTGAACTGGAACAGCGGCGATGGAAACTGGTATATATATATATGGAAGCTTGCGACATATATGGGTTTTGATTGAACTGGAACAACGGCGATGGAAACTGGTATATATATATATATATGTATGTATGTATATGGAACCTTGCGAAAGATATGGGTTTTGATTTTCTGAACAATCTGAAATGATATACCATACGGGGTTTTGAACTTTTGATTCTTGCAGAGAAAGAGAGAGAGAGAGAGAGTTGAGAACGAGAATAGAGATGGAGGCGAGATTGGGGGAGGCTAAAATGATTTGCCCTAATTTTTTTTTTTTCTTTTCTTGAGGCCCATCAGTATAGGAGATTATATGTGTGTGTGTGTGTATATATATATATATAATAGAGATGGAGGCGAGATTGGGGAGGCTAAATGATTTGCCCTAATTTATTTTTTTTCTTGTGCAGTATAGGAGAATATATATATATATATATATATATATATATATATATATATATATATAAATATAAAAGGGTATAATAGTCAATTTATTAAAATAATTCCCTTTTCTTTCTTTCCCTTTCTTTTCCCAAACATGATTATTGTCCTTCCCTTTCTTTTCCTTCATTAATCAACCAAACACAATACCGAATTAAAATTATCCTTTCCTTCCCTTCTCTTCCCCTCATAACTAATGTTATCCCTCCTCTTCAAACCCACTCTACCAAACATACCCTAAGGGTTAGTTTGGTGCAATGAAAAATGGTAGAAAAGGAAGGGAAGGTGATGAAGGGAGATTAAAAATTTGTATTTGGTAAAAATTGTTGGAAGAAAAGGGAAGGATTTGGAAGGTTATGTCAAAGTTTCAACAGTGTTTTTCTTATCCTCCTAAAAATGGGAGGAAATGGAAGGAAAGGGAAGGCAATGGCTGATGGAGGAGTTGTGATGTCAATTTTACCCTCAAGATTACACAAGTTTGCAAAACAATATACATCCAAGTTAGCAGTTACAGAGAGAGTGAGAGACGACAGGCTGGTGATTGAAGCTTGCGAACGGCAAACCCGAACTGGAACAACGGCGATGGAAACTGAATGATATGGGTTTTGATTTTCTGAACAATCTGAAATGATATGCGGATACGGTTTTGAACTTTTGATTCTTGCAGACAGATAGATAAACTGAAATATATGGGTTTTGAACTTCTGATTCTTGTAGTGCAAAGAGAGAGATGGAAGCGAGATTGGGGAGGCTGAAATGATTTGCCCTAATTTTTTTTTCTTTTCTTGTAGCCAGGTATAGGAGATTATATATATATATATATATATATATATATATATATATATATATTTAAATATAAAAGGGTATAATAGTCAATTTATTAAAATAATTTCATTTTCTTTCTTTTCCTTTCTTTTCCTAAACATGATTATTTTTCTTCCCTTTCTTTTTGTAATACCCCTACTTTAAAAAGGGATAAAATTGGAATTTAAATGTTATTTTATGTGCATTTTTATTTTATTTATTAATTTTAAGAATAAATGCTTATGTGGCAAATTGTTTATTTGTGTGTATTAATTGATTTATTTGTTAATTATTTATTTGCGTTTATTATTTTTGTTTAATTGTCTTAGTTGAATTATTTAACATTATTTGCATTAATTGACTTAATTGGATAATTTGATTTAATTGATTTATTATTGTTTTATTAAATGGAATTTAATTGTAGGTTTTTGTTATGGGCCAACTCGGATTAAGTTTAGGGCTCTATCTCAATGTGACAAGGATTAGGGTTTTAGTATTTAGTTTATAAATACACCATTATGCGTTAAGCTAGGGTTTTACGATATATCACATAGCATATACACGTAGAGGGTTCTGCAAAACACGGAGAGATGCAGAGTAAGGGTTGAGATAACAGAGCAAATTGTGAGTTCTCGACTGAGGTTTCAAAGCCAAACCTAGGAGAAGGGAAACACAGAAGTAATAGGAGGCTAAGCAGTATTTCAGTGTGGCCAGAACAGAGGAAAGCAGACCAACTATTACAAAGGCAAGTTCTATCTTCCTCTTTCCCTTTGAGCCGTGTTCTGTGCACCTAGATATGCTCTAGGGTTTTAAGGAAATTAATAACTAAATCATTCATGTATGTTATACATCAAATTAATCATATGTATGCTTTGAATTATTTCTGTGATGGTTTCTGCAATATCTGTTACAGTGCATGCAAGTTGGTTCAGTTTTATGTCCTTTAAGCATGAGGGTTCTGGTCGTAGTTTTGTCTCTGTTTTTATTGCAACTACTGTAAACTACGTATGGAAAGACTACGGGAGTTATGTAAATCTCATAGGAGGGTTGCTATTAATATTTTAGATCTCTGTTGCTTTTAGCTTCGTTGTAATCTATGCATGAGGTTTCAGTTTTGCATAAGTTTACTTCTGTTAATTGATTTAAATTGCTATAATCAAACCTTGGGGATGCTATCAGGAGGGTATTAGATCCTTTAGATCAGTTTAAGAAACAAGCAGAGGGGTAGGAATTGATCGGAGAAGGAGCAGATTGACGGAAACGGAGCAGAGACTGAACTAGAGGCTCTCAAGAGGGAGAGAGCCGGCTCTAGGAAGTCAAGAGCCGGCTCCCCTTCAGCAAGAGCCGGCTCCTAGGGGATTGGAGCCGGCTCCAATAGGGGAAGAGCCGGCTCCTCCATTCCAAGAGCCGGCTCCAATTTGTTTTTACGTCCAGAAAGTGGTTTTAAGGCTCTGTTTGGTGTTTTGAGCACTGTTTGGGCTTCTGAGTGATTCTAATGAACTGTAGGGACTTAACAGAGGATCTAAGTAGTTAATTTTAAGTGTTATTAAACCTAATGTTGCATGGTTTAAGTCTTTAAGAAGCAGTGTAAAAATATACCACGGTGTATGCTACTAACAGAGAAATGAACTAAATGGCTTGATTAAATTTTAGAAATTTAATGAGACTTCACGGAGGGATTAAATAGTTAATTTTTAGGTGTTATTAAGACCCTAAATTAATTTAAGGTTAATTCTAAATTAACGGATCAAACTGTATAACACTTATGTACAATTGTATACGGTTGGTGGATGAATGAAGTGTTAAATGCTTAAGCTTATTTTTAGGCATTCCAGTGGGATGTAATATATTTATTCAATGGTCTTAAATATATTATGGGGTCATTGATGTGTTAGATGTAATCTATGCAGGCTTTGGAAGTTAGTTGTTGATTTATTAATTCATCCCCTGCAACTATATGGTTAATTGGTTGGATTTTAAATTGCTGTACTATCATTCGTAGTCTGTAATTTACATGGTTTTGGTTTTAAGTTGTTGAAATACTAAATACTATTCTACAACGATGTGGATGGTTGGTTTTGGACTATAAATTACATGCTTATTATTTATGCCTTGTAATTTACCTGGAATTATGTATTGGAACATAATTGCTGAATTCTCACATTAAAATTCTGTCAATTATCTGGGTTTTGGTTTTGCATTGTAAATTACTTGCTTATCATTTGAATGTTGTAATTTACATGGATATGGAGGATGGTATGCACCGGTATGGGACGGTGGCATACTAGGTATGGTTTAGCTCAAAATGCTAATTCCTACCTTATGGATTTTAATTGGTGAACAATATAACTGGTTCTATCAATTATATGGACTTTGTGGATTGTATGCACCGGTATGGGACGGTGGCATACTAGGGACAGACTGGTTTAAAATACTCAATCCTACCTATTTTGGAATAAGGGAACGGGTTGTTAAATAAATCCTCCTTATATATATATAAGTCGGTACGGTTGAATACGCCGAATGACTTATTGGATTTCTTGTGAATGGTTAGGAACGGAGGTTAGATATATATGTTTATGGTACCACGAGTTGAGCTTGAGTCTCAAACTTGTTGGTTAGGGTGCGTATATGCAGTGGACGTGTAGCTGGTTATAGTAGGTTGGGTGTACCCTGTTAGGTCTAGGTACTCATGCCCACCTTTGGGTGCGTATTCGCATGTTGCCTTCTATTCAGGTTGAGATCCCTACTGTAGTTCAGTGAATGTCCCATAGTGTGGATATATATATGTATGGACTAGATAGATATTGTGAGGTATCTATGGTGTATCTGCGTATCGGGTCACTGTATGGATTGCAGTTAGATTAGAACTTGCTAGTGGGCCTGACCCACCCTTTTATTATTTTTTTTTCAGGTGTTCGTCAGTTCTGAGCTGTAGAGCTTGATCGTGCTGAGCAGATACAGTTATTCACTCTACTGATGGCGTAGGATTTTATTTCATGTTAGGACTTGGGTTTTGTTCCAGTCTTTTGAGTACCATTG